AAAATGTGTTTTTCTTTAACAAAAAGTTTTTTTAAAACTATTTGCTTAAACATGTTTTTTCTCTTTCTATCTTATATACATAAATAATTTTAAATAAATTTGTTTTATGAGTTTTTAATCTGATGAAGAAAAAAAAATAAAAATATTGAAAAAAAAAATAATTAAAAATTAAAATGCTTTTATTTTTGGTTTCCAAAAAAAAGTACTTTTTGAATACTTTGCTCTATAGTTGTTTAATTATGGAAAATATTTTTGAATTATAACAATCACACAGGGGAAAGGTATTTCTAGCAATTGTTGGGCGGTTTTTCCATTTTTTAAAATTAAAACAACATTTTAGAAATTTGCATGTTGATTTTTTTTTTTTCAAACATATGTTGACAGCTCAAGATCGACTTATCGATGTTATTATCAGAAAAATTTTCGGATAATTTTGTAAAAATTTTCTATAAAAAGAGAAAATTTGGCGAAAATTCAACCGAATTTGTGAAAATTTTCATAAAATTTCAGAATTCATCCCTCCGGGATGTCAAAGATGGCCATAGCTAAAAGCTGCAAAACTCAGAAACGATTCTGTCCGGAAGTCATACCTCCTGGGATGTCAAAGAAGTAATCATCCCAATTTTAACATCACACAGTTTTAAACAACGGCGGCGTCATTATGTCGCGGTCACAAGCTAATGGCCATAGAAGACACCGGAAAAAGCTGCAAAAAACAGAAACGATTCTGTCACAACTGAGGTCAGCATGGCGCAACAGACTCAGAGCCTACTGGACCCACATTGTCTGTGCTTTCATCAATGATTGGACAGTTGGAGGTCTATTTTCCCACATTTTTTAAGGGATTTAAGAAATAATCCAAATCCAATAGATTAGTCTAGCTTTCAAGAGACTATTTAGTAATGAAATAACATCTTTTTCATCAGCCCCATTTCGATATTGTCACAAGACAAGATGGGTCCACTTTGGACTCCATTATATACATATTTCCAAACACAATAGAATACTATTATTTGATTTGGCAGATAAAAGCAAATTTCAGCTTTCTATATGATGGATTAGATAAGTCTCGCTCTCTAGAGACTATTTAGTAATAAAATAACATATTTTTTATCGACCCCATTCCGATATTGTCACAAGATGACAAGATGGGTAAACTTTGGACTCCATTATATATTTCCAAACACAATAGAATACTATTATTTGATACTAACCACGAAAATCTAAAATAAGACTCTTATAACTACTTCGGCAGAGCAAACCAAATTTCAGCTTTCTATATGATCAGATGATTGATTTCGGAACAATCCAACAGCCTTAAACATTAGATAATTAGATTAGTCTCGCTTTCGACAGGCTATTTAGTAATGAAATAACATATTTTTGAAAGACCCCATTAAGATATTGTCACATAATGACAAGATGGATCAACTTTGGACTCCATTATATATATCCAAACTTAATAAAATGCTATTATTTGATACTTATCGGCAGAGCAAACCAAATTTTAGCATTCTATATGATCAGCTGGCTTTAGAAAGTTGTGGAAAGAGAATAGGGCAATATATTGAAAATCAAATTTTGAATACAGATATTTAGCAGAAACTTTAACAACTCAAATTATACGATATACCAGCCCGACTTTGTTTAAAATGCCTTTCCAAAAACCAAACCTTATGTATGTATTTGTAAAATTAAAAATAAAAAAATCCACCGTTAAAGTATATTGCAACAAAATAAAAACAAATATTGAAAAAGTCCATATTAAAAAAAAATATTACTTTAAAATAAAAATTTTTACAAATTGATACGGGATTTATTTAAAAAAAGAAATAAAATTAAAATCAAAAATACAAATAAGAAATAACATAAAAATGGAAAAAACCATAAAATCTTTAAGTTTCAATAAGCAATTATTACAATTTTCAAAAATTCATTATAAATATAATTTTTTTTTTTTTGGTTAAATAACACAAATAACTAATTGTTTTTTACAGAAATTTCTTTTCACATAATTTTCCATAAAATACGTATCAATGTAGTTTATAAAAAAAAGAAATTAATAATTATTAATAATAAAAACAAGATGTAATATGTGCCAAAAACAGTAATAAATATAAATAAAATATGTAATTTTCATATGTTTAAACATTAATTGAGTTCACAGCTCCAAAAAAAAAAATCAAATATACATATAGAAAAATTTTAAAAAAGATCCCAAAAAAGATAAATATTTTAGCACAAAAAGTAAAAAACAAAAGACATAAAGAACAAGATCAAATTATATCTTCCTTGCAAAATAAAAATAAAAAGAAACAGATTTAAAAAAATAATTATACATAAATACTATATGCTAAACAAAAAAATTAATTAATTTAATAATATATAGTATACATAAATTATTATTTATATAAGTTGAAATTTTAATTAAATTTCTAAAGTAAAAAAAAAACAAAAACAAAGAAAAATACATGAACCAGAACAATCACAGTCCTGTTTGAACTTATTCTTTACAATAATTATGTTTATTACCTCTTTTTTCCAAAAATTCAATTATATGCAAGTCCCAAATAAGAATCTGAGGACCGCTAAATAAAAGGAAGATTTGCGATTTTAAATCTTGATTAAAATATCAACAAATACCATTAACAAAAACAATATTATTAATTTTTTTATTTATTTATGTTCTTTCCATTTGTAAGGTTGTGAACTGTGAAAAATTACAAGAAAAAACAAAATTAACACAAGAACAAAAAAAAAACATAAAAATTTATGAACACAGCGGAAAAAAACAATAAAATCATAAAAATAACTAAAACTATTTTAAATTAATGGAATATTTTAAAATCGGTAAGTATTAAGTGAAGATTGGGAATGATTAAACAATGCTCTAGGAATGGACAATCCTGTGATTTATAAAGAACGTCTTTTCCACTGTGATTTGTGAACTAATATCTATCTATCTATCTATCTATCTATCTATCTATCTATCTATCTATCTATCTATCTATCTATCTATCTATCTATCTATCTATCTATCTATCTATCTATCTATCTATCTATCTATCTATCTATCTTTCTATCTATCTATCTATCTATCTATCTATCTATCTATCTATCTATCTATCTATCTATCTATCTATCTATTTATCTATCTATCTATCTATCTATCTATCTATCTTCTATCTATCTATCTATCTATCTATCTATCTATCTATCTATTATCCTATTCTATCTATCTAGCTATCTATCTATCTATCTATCGTATCTATCTATCTATCTATCTATCTATCTGTCTATCTATCTATCTATCTATCTATCTATCTATCTATCTATCTATCTATCTATTTATGTTTGTTCATAATCGGTAAACTCAGGAACTACGGTCTCCTGATAGGCAATATTTCAAATATGTTTTAGGGCTCGTGAAGAAGTATCTTGAAAAGTTTGAAAATTTTCCGATAGTAGCGTCGAAGTTTTAGTTTTTAGTCAATTACACCCAAACTGCTAACCCGATTTTTTTTTAAATGTATAGGGCCTGCAACGCCACTAGTAGTACATACATACATAAATTTTTTTTTACAAATAAAAATATTTTTCTTGGTGTTTTTTTACGAGAAATTTACGATAATTTTTTCTTCAATTTGGTGCTTTTTGAAATTTTAAAGTTGACAACACTGAGAAAAAATGGAATTGTATCAATTCCACGCCAGCGTAGCGTCATTTTCCATTTTAAAATGGAAATTTTTGCGGAGCCAATTGAGCTCATCAAAATTTGATCGGATTGACACACAAACACGTATATTTCTTAGCGGACGATTTTGCTGAGAAACCCGCCTCTAAGTAGCATGCTCAGTTCATATAAAAAAACGGTTGTTGTAAATTTTTGCTGAGCCTCAGTAAAATTTCCAACGCGTCGTTGGAAATAATAAAAAAGTCCGGCAACTGTTATGTGTTGCCATATTGTATAATTATTATTGTTTAAAAATGTTGTTATCAAAATGGCATCATTTCGTCTGGCAACATTTCGCTTAAGCTGACAACAATGGTTAACGATATGGCTACTCTATTTAAGAGTTTGTTTACATATTCTTAGCAACAAACATATAAATGTCAAAATTATAAAATTGAAAGAAAAAATTATTTTTAATAATTATTCATAATACTAAAAAACAATAATTATGACCAAAACAAGCCATAAAAAGAATAGACCATTTGATTTTAAGTTAATCGATTTAGTGGAACCACATCCGGTTCTATATCAGCCAATACCCGGAATGTCCACATTTGAAGTGATGAAAACGAAAAGTACATTGTGGCAACAAATATCCAATGAAATGGGTTTTCCTGGTAAGATTGTGATATATTAATAAATACATTATATTTTAGTTTGAACCTATATTTTGTAGTACAATTTTGTCTCAGTCGTTGGAATAACTTAAGAGGACAGTTCCAGAAAGAGCTTAGACATTGTACTGAACTTTGTCCCAAAAGTGGCTTGATACGTGGTTCGACTTGGCCCTATCTAAATAGATTGAAATTTCTAGAAGCTACTGTTCTAGCTAATAGATCCAAAAAACTTAAATTAAGTAAACGTAAGTTGAAGGAATTACAACAACTGGAACAACAATTTGAATGGCGTTCGGAAGAAGAAGAAGACGAGGAGGAGGAGGAGGAGGAAGATAGACTTACTGAGGAGCCTGAAAATGAATACAATATAGAAGAAATAACCGATAACGTTGAACATACCGAGGTAATAGAAGAAACTTATATGGCTGATGAGGATTACTCTATTATTGAAGAAATTGCGGAGGAGGTAGTTGCCGAAGCTACTGAACATGTAGAGCACTTTACACCCAATGATACCATGGAAAATTATCGCAAAATGCAGTCACTATTAGATACATTTGAGGAGGAAGCTATGCACATCATTGAAAGACGTTTAATGGCTTTCCTGTGTAAATGTCAGTTAAGAGCCTTAAGTAATCAAACTATAGATGATTTGTTTGTTTAGTTCTTATGATTTTTTTCTTCTTTTCGCTACATATTTTTATTAACAATTTATTTTAGTTTATACAAAAAAAGGAAATAAACTACTGTTTATAACTGATTTAAGATTAAATGTGAATTTTATCCAAATCTTGCCAAGGTATTTTAGGTTTTATAAGAAAATCTTGACGCGGAAGATTATCCAACATTTGCACTTGACTGCGTACATATTTCACTAAACGTTCGATGCGTTCATATTCTTCACAGTTCAATTCGAAAAAGCGACGCCATAAGGCAGCGGCCAATACTCTATCCTCAGACATAATGCCCTCATCGTAGGCGATTAAGGCAGCTTGAAATTGTTCAGACAGCTCTTCGATTTGTTGACGTGTGCGCGAGGGATTGTTGGCCTAAAATTAAATATTTGAATATGAAAGTATTTTAATGAAAATTAGAAATTTATTTTGTAATTTTTATTACCCCCAATTTTTTAGCTCTAGTATTAACATCACCCCACATAGCTTCTACTATACAATTGCGTAAAAAGCGGCCATCTTCACCAGTTTCCGAGCCTTCAGCCATGGATCTCAAGAGTAACATCCAAACATGCAGTTCAGTGACCAAAAACCAAGAATTAAATGTATTGGGCATATCGAAATCTTTGAAAAAGGCCAAATAATTTATTTTATCGGCCACACTTTCATACAGCATATGACTGGAAACCCTTAAACGCTGGAGGAAATTAACCAATTTAATATAAAAGCATGAAAATATATTTAAACTACTAACCGCTTTAGAATTTGGTGTAAATCCCACTTTTTTCAAAACCCTCTTTAAAATGCCATTATCTCCAGAATTTGTTTTATCATTAACTCCGGCTGGCGTAGTAGTTGTAGTACTGGCTGAACAATATTGACAAGCCAATTGTCCAAATGGCTTAAAATTGTTTTGGAATTTGTTGACATCTGTGGCAATATCTTGTCCGGTCAAATTGTTTACGGCAGAAATCTATTATATTAAATTAAAACGCATAAAATTTATTAAAAATGTTTATGTAAGAATGCATTTTAAAAATGCAATTTCTTTTTTCTCTATTCTTATTTAAGATTTTTGTATAAATCTCACTTACTGTTGGCATTAACAAAGCTCTGGCATTGGGCAGTTTACTTAATAAACGTGTCGTTAACATTTTTATGTGATTATTTTTAATTTTTTGTTAAAAATTTGTAAACATATATAAATTCTTTTTTATAAAACACCACCACACTACACAAAGAAAATCACAACACAGAGTTGTTTCAAAAGGGTCGGTAAATGTCAAAAGTTATTTTACAATGGTAGCTCTTTAATGCACAAACAGCTGTGCGTTACACTTTAAAAAAAACCTTGTCCAACAAATAGTAATTTATAAATAAATGAAAAACTACAGAAGAATTTCAATAAAACAAGATGAAATACTAATATTAAATAAGAAATTTATAAATTATACCCATAATTCTTAAGATATCTTAGAGATAAAAAAGCATCATGAAATATTAATTTCTTTCTCAGTGTAGTTCAACTCAAGCTCTCTTAACTTTTCAGCTGTCAACAGTTTTCTCTTTATTTTGGTTTTTTCTTTGCACGTGCTCAAACAGCTGCTCAGTTGTTTTTGTTTTCATTATAAATAAAAAAAATAAAGTGCAGTTTTCCTAACAAAATTTAGAATTTTTTCAAATTAAAAGAATTAAAACTCGTAAAATGGTGAAATTAGCAAAAAAGAAGAACAAAAGTAAACAAGCCCCTGTTAAGCCTTTAAGCCGCAAAGAACTACGCAAACAAAAGCTGCAGGAAAAGAAAGAACACAAACGTTTATTTTTCTCCAGTAAAACGGAGGGCAAGAAATTAGTGGCCGAAGCCAAACAACAGCAACAAAGTGAAAAGGTACAAACCAAAAAGAAAAATAAAAAGCCTAAAGTCACTATTAATCCCGATGATATACCCATAGAACAACTATTGTCCGGTGAAGTTAATTCAGATAATGATGAATCAGTGGATTCAGACTTTTCAGATGAAGAAGTAGATGCCCTGCTGCCGGAGTCACTGAAGTTGCAAATGAAAGCTAAGGCAAAACCAAAGGCTCCCGTGAAAAAACCCAAACTCATAGAACCTGCACGGCCGAATGCCGAAGACACTCATCGTCGGGAATTACAGCGTCAGAAAGATTTGGAAAATGCCTCCAAAAAGCGACGCATTAAACAATTGAAACTGGAAAATGAGGAAGAAGATAAAGTGATAGCAAAACTCGAGAAAAAATTGGGTTTAAATAAGACCAAAAATAAAAATCGTTTAGTGCGTAAAATGTTCAATGATGGTTTGGATTTCGCTTTGGAATTGTGTCTTGACGATGAGGAGGAAAAGGAAAAACAGGCTTTGAAAGAGAAGCGACGAGAAGAATTGAAAAAGCAACAAAATAAAGAACCCAGCTGGAGTGATGAAGAGCAAGATGAAGAAAGATTTAATGCCATATTTGGTAGTGGTGGAGAGTCAGACGGTTCGGAAGGAAATGAAGATTTAGCAGCAGATGAAGCCGATGAGTTTAATGATGAAAGTGATTTTGGTGATGAGGGAGAAGAAGAAGAAATGGAAGATGAATTTGAGGGAGAAGATGAAGATGCAGAAGTTGAACAAGATCAGGAAAAGAAGGAGGAATGTAAGTTTATTAAATATCTTAGATTGTAGATTTTATTATAAATTACTATACATGACAATATAGTTCAGTTTATAGAAGAATATATAGTTTTGACTATAAACGAGACTATAGACTATATTATAGTTCAGAATACAGACTATAGCCCAGACTATAGATGAGACTATATACAAGACTACAGTCCAGAGTGTAAACGGGACTAAAGATCCAATTATGCCTAAAAATATACTACATTTCCTCTATCTTATATTTCAGTCAAAGAGGATATTTACGGACGCAAACGAGACAAAGATGGCAATATTATTAAGGAGGTTGCCAGTGACGGTCCACAAAAATATATTCCCCCACATCAAAGAGCTTTACTGGCCGCTAAGGGCGATAACAAACAAGCTGAGATTTTGGAAAGGCTACGCAAACAATGTAAAGGTCTGCTCAATCGTTTATCAGAAGCTAATCTTCATAAGATATCGACCGGTATAGAGGAACTTTATATGAAAAATTCACGTTTTAATATGAACGAGACCCTAAACAAGTTGCTGCAAGAGGCTTTGATTGGTAAAGTTTTGGCAAATGAACGTATGGTGCAGGAACATATGGTATTATTGGCTTATCTACATGCTCATATAGGCAGTGAAATCGGAGCACATTTTCTGCAAATGTTTATTGAACAATTCGATAGTCTTTTAAAGAATCTTTCGCAATTGCAGCAGGAGGATAAGAGCTTAAATAATGTCGTTCTAGTACTTAGCTACATGTATGTTTTTAAAATATTTGAACATCGCCTGTTGCTGGAAATTATAGAACGTTTAACCAACCAATTAGATGAAAAGACCATCGAATGTCTGTTATTAATATTCCAGTCGGTGGGTTTTAAACTTAGAAAAGATGATCCATTGGCTTTTAAACAAATGATGTTGGGCGTACAAACAAAAATAGCCGAAGCTCCTTTAGAATTGAAAGAGAATTTAAGACTTAAATTCATGGTGGATATCTTGAATGCCGTTAAAAACAATAACATTAACAAAATACCCAAATTTGATCCTGAGCTGCATGAGAACTTAAGAAAGAAATTAAAGGCTATGTTAAGAAATGACAAATATGTCATAACACTCAATATAACTATGGAAGATTTGCTACGTGCTGATACCGTGGGCAAATGGTGGGTTGTGGGTTCAGCCTGGACGGGTAATATTAAAGAAATGGCTGCTGCCCAAAAGAAAGCGGAAGGTGATGAAAGCTCTTCTAAATCGCAAAAATTCTCGGAACAATTACTTAAACTGGCAAAGCAACAGAAAATGAATACCGAGGAAAGACGTAATATATTCTGCATCATAATGAGTGCTGCCGATTATATAGATGCCTTTGAAAAGATATTACATTTGGCTGTTAAAGATCAACGTTCCATAGCTTATGTTACCATACACTGTTGCCTCAATGAAAAAGCCTCCAATCCTTATTATGCCCATTTGGCTTTGAAATTTTGTAACTACAATCGTAAATACCAATTAGCCTTCCAATTTGCCAGCTGGGATCGCATCAATGAGATAGATTCTCTAAATAAAATACAAGTACGTAACTTAGCACGTTTCCTGCAGCATCTTATAATCAACAATGGCTTGCAGTTGGCTGTTTTGAAAATTGTGGATTTCTTGCAGTTGGATAAGCAGTCATTTGCTTTGATGAAAGAAATATGCAAGGGTTTGCTGTTGTCCTCCGAAGAGCAGGAGTTGTATCAAGCTTTCGAACGATTGGCCAAGAATACAAAGTTACAACAATTTAAACAAAGTTTACGTTTGTTCCTGCAACACTTTTTGCTTAAAGAACAGGGTGCCACTTTAAAACTAAGCGAGGAAGAAATGGAATTACTGCAAAAGCGTGTAGATTATGTGGATAAATTGTTAGCTTATGTAGACATATAAATATGTATGATTGTACATCTGTGTAGAGTAAAATTGTTAGTTATAATAAGAATTAAAAAACTAAATTTTTTTAAATATAAAATTTTTCATAGAAAAACTAAATTAAAACTAAACGAGATTTATTTCTATAATTAAAAATTCAGAATTTATCGAACATTTTCTTTACAAAAGGTAGTTCTTCTTAAACTTAATGTGGAAATTGTTGATTTTTTTAATCAATAATTTATTTCTATTTTCTATAAATCGAGAATTTTTTTAAATTGTTTTTAAATCGAAAATTTATTAAAAATCTAGATTTTTTAAATTCGAAATTTACAATAAAACAAAACTTTCCGGAGATGTTCAAAAAATTCAGCATTTTAAGAAAATTTTGATAAATCAGGTAATTTTTTATAAATCGAGAATTGTAGGAAATGTTTTTCATGGAGAATATACATATCAACATTTTGTAAAATTGTTGAAAAATGTAAAATTTATCGTCAATTTTCTTAAAATAAAAAATATATCGAATATTCTAAAACATAAAATTTAATGAGTATTATATAAAAAAAAATTTATTGAAAACTTTCCTTAAAATCGAAGTGGTCAAAAATTTTCTTTTTTTATTTTCTAAAAAACAGAATTTTCTTTAAATCGATAGCTTTTAAGAATAATTTTCTTTAACTCGAGAACAGATTGGGTATTTATATAGTTGTAAAAATGTTTTAACGAACATTTTCTTAAATATCAAAAATTTATTGAAAATAACTTCACTCAACCAACTAATTTTTTAACACAATCATCGAATTCCTTATTTATTAAAAAAAAAAAAAATTCGAAGTTTTTTTTATTAGCTTCAGGTAAAGAGTTTTTCTTTTGCGAAACAATTGAACTTATTCTATACAAATTAATCATTTCCAATTATAGTTTTAGTAACAATTGACTTAATCGAATATTTGCAATAAATCTCTAGCTCTTTGGTATTTAGCTGAATTAAGTATAGATTGCCTTTGCTCTTCTGTTTCTTGCTGTTCACATTGTTTGTCTATCTCCTCGATAACATCATTGGCCAATTTAACTATCTTATCTTTTGCAGCACCCTTGCTGCCAGCTAAATATTCCAAAGCAATTGACCATACTGCATCGTCCAATTTATCACTTTCGAACATGGTCTGCTGTATGGAGATTTGTCGTAGTTTCTCAAATTTCCAACTATCACGTGCATGTTTCCATTTATTCAAATATTCTGTATTACGTTGTTTTTCCTTCTCAGCCGACTGACCCTTTTGTGCTTCGATTAATTTTTGATGTTTTTGCTTTTTCTTCTGACGACCCGTCACTATAGCCAAATTATTCTCTGGTTTTTCACTTTCTTTTAACTCCTCTAATGTGGGTTCATGCAATTCATCGTCCACCTCGTGGTCGTCGTTGGCAGGTTCATGATTGGCTTCATTTTGTTCGGATTTACTACGCTTTTCTTGCACATCGCCTCCCTTTTCTTTATTCTTACGTTTTTTGGATTTCTTTGTGCTAACTGCTATAATAATTATAATATATACAAATTATTAATTATTTATTTATATAGTATAAATAACATCGAGCAAATATCCAACTATACCTTGTTCAGTTTCTGTATTTGTTTGCATTGGTTCATCTACTTCGTTATTGGCCTCCACAATTACACTTTTATTTGCTACTTCATC